TCCTGCTGATGTCATGAGACAGAGCTGAGATTACCCTTACTACTGTGTTTCTAGGTCTGCTAAGTCTGTGAGGGGAATAATGTAATGACAAGCTCCCTCCCCAAATTGTACCCTTCTAGCTCAGGCTTGAACTATGTGCTTACTGTCAATTCAGATGTTTTGTCAATAGGAATGAGATGGATAAAAATAAACAAAAGTTTTTAAAAAACACCTTTATTGAGAAATAGTTCATATATGCCATACAGCTCACCCATTTATAGTATAAAATTCGATGGTTTATGGTATATTCACAGAGCTGGGCAACCATGATGATAATCTAATTTAAATATTTTCATCACCCCCCAAAAAACCCCCATGCCCATTAACAATCACTTTTCATTCCCCCCAGCTCTCTAGCCCTTGGAAATCACTAATCTACTTTCTGCCTCTATAGATTTGCCTATTCTAGACATTTCATATGAATGGAATCATACAATATGTGATTTCTTTTGTGTGACTGGTTTCTTTTACTTATATAATATTTTCAAGGTTTATCTGTTTTAGCATGTATCAGTATTTTATTCCTTTTTATGGCTAGATAATTTCCCACTGTATGGATATACCAAAGTTTGTTTATACATTTGTCAGTTGATGGACATTTAAGTTGTTTCCACTTTTTGGCTATTATGAATAATGTTACTGTGAACATTTCTGTACATGTTTTTTGTTTGTTTGTTTGTTTGAATATCTGTTTTCAATTTTCTTGGGAATATGCCTTGGAGTGGGATTGCTGAGTCATGTGGAAACTCTATGTTCAACATTTTAAGGAACTGCTCAATGGTTTTCCAGTGTGGCCACATCGTTCGATATTCCAACCAGCAACATATGAGTATTTCAATTTCTCCCTATCCTCACCAACACTTGTTATTGTCTGTCTTTTTTTATTGTAGTCATCTTAGTTGGTATGAAATGGTATTCATTGTGGTTTCAATTTGTATTTCCTTAATGTTGAGCATCTTTCTCAATGCTTATTGGCCACTTGCATATATTCTTTGGAGAAATATCTATTCCAATCCTTTGCTCATTTGTAATTAGCTATTTTTATTATTGAGTTTAATAGTTCTTTATATGTTTTGAATAAAAGTCTAATATTAGATATATGATATGTAAATTTTTTTTCCAATTATCTGGATTGTTGTTTCACTTTCTCAATGGTATTGTTTGCAGCAGAAAAGTTTTTAATTTTGATATACACCAACTTGTATTTTCTTTTGTCACTTGTGTTTTGGGAGTTCTAAGTAATCACTGACTACCCCATTGTCAGGAATATTTACTACTATGTTTTCTTCTAAGAGTTTTGTGATTTTAACTTTTACATTTTAGTTTACACTCCATTTCAAGTTAATTTTTGTGTGTGATGTAAGGAATGAGTCTAACTTTATTCTTTTCCATGTAGATACTCAGTTGTCTCCACATAATTTGTTGAAAACCTATTCTTTCTCCATTTTGTCTTGGCATCCTTATTTAAAATTGACCATAAATGTGAGGGTTTATTTTTGTACTCTCAATTCCATTACATTTATTAATATGTCTATTCTTGTGCATGCATCACACTGTCTTGATTACTATAGTTTTGTAATAAGTTCTGAACTCAGGAAGTGTGAGTCTTCCAAGTTTGTTGCTTTTAAAGATTGTTTTAACTCTTCTGGGTCCCTTGCAATTTCATATAAATTTTAGGTTTGACTTTTCAATTTATGCGAAGAAGCCAGCTAGGATTCTCATCAGGATTGCATTAAATCTGTAGATCAGTTAGGGGAATATTGTCATCTAAACAGTATTAAGTCTTCCAATCCATAAACATGGGGTGTCTTTACATTTATTTAGATTTAAAAGAATTTATTTCAATAGTTTTGTAGTTTTCAGTGTACTTGCACTTCACTTGTTCAATATATTCTTAAGTATTTCATTATTTTGATGCTATTATAAATGAAATTATTTTCTTAATTTTGTTTTTTGATTGTTCATTGCTAGTATATAGAAATACAAGTGATATATCAACCTTGTATACTGCAACCTTGCCGAATTCATCTAGGTGGTAGTATGAGAAAAACAAGATTATATCTGGGATTCAGAAAGAATGGAGTAAATCAGGACTAGAATAATACTTAGTTACCATGTACTGAGCATATTTGTAATAGATTAGTGCTTCTCAACATTTAACATGCATATGAATCTCCTGGGAATCTAAGAAAAACGCAGACTTTTCTTTAGTGGGGTTGGGGTGGATGGAGCCCGGGATTCTGTCTTTATAACAACTTCTCAGTAGATAGCTGGTGGCTTTCATACATTATTTTTAAGCCACAATAACCCTGCAAGATATATATTATTGTTCTCATTGCACAGATAAGAAAATGAACTCAGAAGTTGAGCAAATAACCAAGTTCATAAATTAACTGGCAGAACCAGAATTTGAACACAGTTCATTCTAATACCAAAGCTGGGCTCTTTCTACTCTACCACTGGATATCTGGAATAGGAGCAGATCAGATGGGACATGAACAATGTGTGGATCAGAAAAAAAGTAAGCTTTTCAGGGTCAGAGATGCTACCTGGAATGCATTTGGGTCTAAACCTCGAGGTTATTTTGGAGAGCTGATCAGCGAGGACCTTGCTTTCTAGGTTGCTAAAAGTGAAGGTGTGAGACCGGAATGTCAAGTAGAAGATAATAATAGTAGATAAAACTCATGATTGGAGGAAGTCTAGAAAGTGGCTCACCTCTGATCAGGATAGAATCCAGAGCTGGACTGTATACTGCTGAGGTCTACATTTGGGATTACAACTATTGTTGACTATTCCTGAATTCTAAGTTATTTTACTGGGGATAATAAATGGTATAGTATCTGTGCTATCTCTCAGGGGCCAGGTTAAGGGTTTAAGGATATGGGTAAGGTTCTAGCCACATGGTTACCTGTGAAGAACTATAGCTAGGTGAGCGAATTACCTTCCAATAATTTTCAGCAGAATATTAGGGGATTTCCATCACCTCAGTCAAAACACGTGAGATAATATTTTTTGTCCTTAGCACCTTTTATTGAAATATGACCCTTGATGACAATCAGGCGGGCATATCGAATGTCAGCCAAGAAGGGAGCGGTGGAGGACACAAATGAAAAAACAATAAGATTCAGAAAAATAATAGCTTCACATGGGATAGATGATCCCCAACAGTTGTACAACACTGGTTCTTTATCTATAGAAATTGCCCCCTGCCCCATCCCCCTCTAAAGATCTACTAAGTTTCAAAGAATATAATATGCTGTTATGGAAATATTATTGGCATAGATAACTCCTTTGGCAAAGACAGAGGGAATCACCAAGCTCCAGATGGGAAGAAGTGGCCAAAATGTACGCAGTTTCCTTCATCTGAAACCTGCTACTGGCAGAGTAGCACCTTCTGGGAGGCTGGGGTTATGGCTGCAGATCTAATGCCTCTGGACAGCTTTTTAGCACATGAGGTTAAATGGAAAACAGAAACTGAACCTGGCCTTGAAAGAGACTTTTTATCTTTCACCCTCTCTACTCTTTTGCTTCCAGTGTCTCCCATGCTAGGGCTTTATTTTCAGTGTCTCTGTCTCTTTCTCTAGGTTCCCCTTGTGCATTTACTGCTATACTCTGGCTGAGTCTGAAGGTGATAGGACTCAAGGAGACCCAATTACACAGGGTCCTGGGAGCAGGGAGTTAGGAAGGATATGTGATAGTAATTCTTACACTGATTCCTTTCTATATATCAACCACTGTGCTTACCTATTACCCACTGGGGCCTATATGAGTATTTGAAGGAAGAAGGCAGAAGTTGAAACCAATACTTGTCTTTGTAGAAATCCCTTGGCCTGCCTGCCTTCCAAACTGCTACCCCCGGGCAGGCTTTCACGGAGGGCAGAGCCCAGGAAATGAGAACAGGGGAGAGACACTGCACCTCAAGTAATACTGACAGCTTTGCAGTACTGTCACTCACAATGGGATTGCCATGTCAGCAGTGCTGGGCATCAGTACCTGTTTAGTAGTTCACCTTTGTCTGCCAAGCTTCACTGCTCAATATAATTTTGGGGCTATTTTATTAAGTTCTTTGAAAACTGTCCCTCTGTATAAAAATGAGCATCTTGTGTTCTGATTTTAGCTCTAGAATAATTTGAGGTGAGATGAAGGACAAAAATAGCAGTCAATAGTATTTTTAGTGTGATAAACTTAAGGTACAACCAATCTACCACTGACTAGAAAAACTCGGACTATGACCATGGTGCCTGTGAGGGACCACTCTTTTTTCCTGGGCATCTATTTTCCAAAACGTTGTTTTAGCCAGAAAAAAATCTTAGAATGTTGGACTACATTGGCCTCATCCCCTCAATACAGGACATCTGAACTTGCTTATTGTTTGTCTTAGAGCCTGTTTTTTTTAAAAAAAAGATGGCAAACACAGCCTACATTCAAAGCATTCCTTAACCTTCCTCAATCTTGTTTTCTGTAAGCCTAGACCTTTATAAGCCATCAGCCTTCCTGAATAAAGTAGAATCCTCTCCTTGAGGGGAAATGGCAGGTTGACATTTTTACAGTGGTTCTGACAGCAGCAGTATACTAAGAGCATACCAAGGGCCCCCCTCAGGACACCCTGCTGGCTAAGATTATTTCATTGTTTCCAAATACAATGAAGAGGAAATGGAAGTTAGGACCAAGTATTTGTAGCAGCAGCAAAGTTCCTTGGCAAATTCTTTGGTTGAATGAGGCACCCCTGTTGCTACAGTTAACCTCTATGGACCATGAAGAATACAGCTGTAACTAGAACAGATACCAGGGCTTGCTGGGTAGGGCTGTTCAGTACCGAGCATGGGCCCCAGTTAGCAAGGAATAGGTAATTGAGGTGAATAACAAGGCCACAACTCCCTTCCTGCATTCGCCCACCTGAGGGCTTTTCCAGGATAGAAACTGGCTACCAGTGTCAGGGCCTTGGCAACAGCAGCAGCATTAGTTGTTTGTGTGCCTCGGATTCTGGCTGAATTATAATTTGCTTTGGGGGCCAGCCCTGGCCCTGTGAATTTCAGTTCCCTGAGCCAGGCTACAGGCTGAGAAAGCAATTAGATAGATGAGATCCTCCTGAGCTCACCTCTCCCCTTTCCTTACCTTGGGGACTAGAGAAATAGGTGAACCTTTGTCAGTTTCAGATTTCTTAGGTTTCAAGAAAAATAAGTAAGAAAAAATTGAACCGTGTTGGGGAACGCTAATCTCATGGTCATCTAGACTTTAAGAAAAATATAGAGCCAGGCCACACTTCAAGGTGAGAAATTCTTTCTAAGACACTTGTTAGCTATGGTGGGAAGAATTCAAGGCCTTGGAACCTGCTTGCTTAAGCATGGTAAATTCAAGCTAATCTGCAGAAAATGCTTTCCTTCTGGGATTTTTCCTCTCCAGCTCCCCTCTTCTTGCCTTATTAGTTAAAAAAGAAGAAAAAAAAAACAATAAAACATGAAAATAAATAAAATCAAAAGGCCATTTAAAATATAACAATAAGAATCCCTTCCCCCCAATAATGGAACATGTATGCGGAAGTCAGCTTTAGTAGAGCTATTCATGGCCCATAGCGTGAAGCCCTTAGAGTAGGCACCTGTAACCTCTGGCAATGAAAAGGCAAGATTAAACAGGAAGTGGTAGGCCCACAGTCTTAGGACAGGAGGAGGGCCATACTAGTCAGGGCTGAGAGTGGGCCTCTTCCCTCTCATGTAGATGCTGGGGAAGATTAGGATGCAGCCAATTTGCTTAAACCTAGCTCCTTCCAGTGGGGCATCTGGGGATCCCCAACCTTTGCTCACATTCTGTTAAGTATAATTCCTCCTTCTCTGCTTCCCACTACAAAACTTGAGTGAGGTTCCGAAATTCAATAGGCAAATACCCTCAAGACAACCAGATCTCTCTGGGAAATGGCTAGGCAATAAGCCTCTGGGAAGAGTGAAACTCCATGGGCAGCTTCTCTCTGAGCCTTGAGAGGCTGATTATGGTGTGGGTGGATGGCGAGTGTATGATGTCTTTGGTGTTTTAGTACAAAGAAGAATGAAGGAACTGCTCTGTTGGTTCTGTGTATGGTGAGTGCTTGCTGTACAAACTGTGGAAAGGAGAGTGTGGTTGTATGATCATGCCCTGCTACAGCTTCTCCTTCTTGCTTCTACTCCCTAGGGTAGAAGCTCGGGGCCTCCCTGGATTCTCCTAGTTGGTTGGGAGTAGTGCTATATAACGGGCAGTGAGAGACATCCAGGGTAGAGAATATGGAACGAACTGCTAACTAACTGCTATTTACTTGCTAACAAACTGCCAACAAAGATTGAAAGCACCTCCCATTGTGGCTGAGCAGGGATGGCATGGGCAGTCTGCTGCTAGAATTAGAAATTGCTGGGCCCCAGGAGTAGGCTCTCCCTGAGACATTTGAGCTGCTCTTCTCCGAGCTTGATCTTCTCTTCCAACTCTCGCTGTTCAATGATGAGAGCAGATTTCATCTTCACAAAGTGCTGATAATCTTGGAGCTGGTCCTGAGGCAGGTAGCGGGAGATCATACCAAACACCAACTTCTCCCGCCGGTCCACGTGCTCCTTCAGCTCCTTGGCATCTGCCAACTGCCCTGTCAGATGCTGCTTCTTTTCTATCAGCAACAACTGGGGAGGCAGAAAACCAATTAAGGGCCATTTCAATTACCAGTCATCCGCCTAATCCAGTACTCCATCAGGGGTGCTGCCACAAAGCAACTATCCACTCTGCTAACCGATCAATCCTAGATTTCCTGGCATGGAGTCCACCTTCATGCAAAAGCCTTTCTTTACTATAGCAGGAGGAGGATATATATGACAGTGATTCTGAAAAGGGGGATATGCAATCACCTCTTTCCATCTCTAAGTTGTCTTTAATCCATGGACCATCACTGGGGTTGGGGTAGGGAAATGATCTGACAAAGCCAGCTCTGGCCCCTTCCATCTGGTGAACTATCACTGTGACAATGCTTTCAAAATGGTGTATGTCTCTGTGACGGTGTTTGTATGTGTGTATATGTAGCTATATGTGTATGTGCATGCATATGTACCTCTTATTGTGGATTCGGATTTGTATCCAAAACCATTTGCATAGGGCTAGGTAATGCAGTTTTGGTTCAGGAATCTACACAGATTAATGCAACTTGTGGAACTGACAGCCACCTAATCTCAACTACTTGGTGAGACCTCCCCTTCAACTCTGAGAAAGAGACGGGGAGGAGAGGAGGAGGGAATAAGAGAGGGAGAGGGAGAGGGTAGGAAAGGGAGAAGGAGGAGCAAAATTACTGCTGCTGCTGCTACTACTACTATTTCTACTACCACTGGCAGCTAGCACTGATTTCACTGTTTACCCTGTTACAGGCCCTGTTTTAGGTCATTAACATGGATTATCTAATTTAATTCTCAAAAACCTCATGAGGTTGGCAGTGTGTTCACCCCATTTTTAAAGAGATTGAGACAGAATGAGGTTAAGCAAGTTGCCCACAGTCCACACAGTTAATTAGTAGTACAGCCAGAATTTCAAGGCACTAAAAAGCCAGTGCTTACATTCTTAACACTATGTTCTACTGCTTCCCAGACTAGCCAAACTTGAAAGAGGGAGCCCTGAGAAGAAACAGATGGCATTCCCCTCCTTCCACACCCAGAGACATCAACTCTACCTTCTCTTGGTTGGCCTCTGAATCCATGCTGTTGAGAGCATTCTCTACACGGGCCAGTCGTCCAGAGAGTGACAACAACAGGTTGACCACTTTGTCAAGGTCCCCGATAAACAAATGGTATTTTTCAAACTCATTGGATTTGCAGACAGCTTTTAGGTTGGCCTCCACCTCTTCCCCAAGGGCAGAATTGGCACTGATGTCCTCCAGCAATCCTCGCTGGGCCTCTTGCAAGACAGAAAGTTTTCTGCCAATGCTTTCAATAAGCTGTATCTAGGAGAAACAAACAGGAAAAGACAAAGAATGAGGATGGAGACCTACAGAAACTGATCTGTGCTTGTAACCTGTTTTGGAATCCAAGTAACAGATGGTATGTTCTACCCTAGTCACTGGAAACAGATGAAACCTGAGCAAGTCTCGAGCAATTCCAGTTTTCTGGACAGGTACCTTCTCTTCCATCTCTTAGTATCTAGGAGGAATCTCTGTCATCATTAAACTTCTTAGCATTAGATAAGTAGTACCCATGGGCTAATGCCAAATGTAACTTAATAAATACTCACCGAGACTATTTAATAAACAGGAAGTGGAAAGCTTGTGAGAACGTAGATTGGAAAAGCATTGTCATCAAGTATTTGCCTATTGCTTCATTCATTCTCCTTGTATCTATTTAAGTACTTTTGATGTTCATGGCACTGTGCTAGATCTTCACCCTCTCAGCTTTGCTTTTGAGGCCTTTTGGATACTAGTGTGAGTTCTGGAGTTGCAATGACTAGGTTTGACTTCTAGTTCTGCCACTTACTAGCTGTATGACCTTAGGTGAATTTCTTTACAGAGTTTTGCTTTCTTTATCTGCAGAATGGGGGTAATTACAGTATCTCCTTCACTGAATTGTAATAAGGCTTCAATGAGATAATGAGTGCAAAGAGTTTAGCACAGACTAATTGCTCAGTAAAAGCTGGCTGCTATTTTTATTCATTCTGGCCCCATTCTACCATTCTAATCTCACTGGGAACATTTCAGGATTAGCTCTTCACTCTCCTCTGAGTTCACAACACTCATTCTTGTGTCCCTGATTTGCATATGCAGTTCTATCTGCTCTTTATCTCTTCTTTCACTTTGGCTATTCCCATTCTTTCTTCAGAGCCCAGCTTTGCCCCCTGCCCTCTCTGCGGAAAGCTCCTGCCACCATAAGTCTTCCCTCCATGATCTCTTTTCTTTTCTGAACTCTCTAGTCTTTCAGAATTAGAAGCACATAGTACAATTTGAAGTTGTTCACTTTCATGTGTGTGCTCCTGATCCCTCTCCTACTACTGATTTTAAGCTCCTCAAGGGAAGCACTGCCTGTATCTTCTGGTTTGTCCCCCTATAGGTGTAACCAGTTCTGGGATTGTACTCATAGCAAGGTCTTGTGGTAGGAATGAAGTTTTGGAGTTGGAGATGCCTGGATTCCAATTCTATCTCCTCGAAACTATGTTACTTTGGGTGAGATACCCAGCCCCACTGAAACTTCTGTTTCCTCATCTGTAAATTACAGAAGTACCTCCTCTCTTCCCACCACCCATTCTTGTGGTGTTAAGTGAAATCACAGAGGTAAAATATTTAGTATTGTGTCTGGCATATTAAGCACTCAGTATATGTTTACTGCTGCTGTTATTATGATTATTATTGTTGTTATTATTATTATTATTATTATTACCTAGGTATTAATATTAATTAGTACTACTACTACTATCACCATTACCACTACCACCACTAACTAGGTTTGAACCCCAGCTCTGCCACAGAATAGTAGAGTAACCTTGAACAAATAATTCAACCTTTCTGTGCCTCAATTTCTCCATCTAAAAAACAGGATAACAATAGTACCTATCTCATAGTGTTGTTATGAGAATTAAATGAGTTAATACATATTACATGCTTAGAATACTATCTTGCATATAGGAAGTATGCTTTGGTATTTGTTTTATTATAATTCCAGTCCAGGCAATCTAGGGCCATAGTCTTGTAGTTTTCTAGAGTGCGTTCCTTTCTACTACTTTATTTAGAGATGTCCAAGGCAACCAAGACCAAGAAAGCCTGCTTTGGGTCCAGGCTTTGTTGTCATATTTCAGAAATGGTCAAAATTCAGATCACCATGATCTTAGTCTGAAGTGTAATAGGTTTACATTTAAGGAAAATTACAAAACCCATTGGAAATAAAAGATCAATGATATGAATGAGGCAACACAATTAGATGCGAAGAGGCTCCCAGTTATATCTCCATCCTCTGCTCTTCCATACAAAAATCAATGCCAGGAACAAGGGAGACTAGCGGACAAATGATCAACTTGGAAAAACACCTACCCACCCCAGCTGTTAGGTTCCACAGATCTAAAGTGGATGAATGTGGAGAGAGCCCTTCGTTTCTTGGCACTTGGGCTTTGTAACCTGAACTTCGACCCTGGGGAAAGTGTAGTGGATAGAGCTATGGAGTCATTGAAGACTCAGCTAGAGCTGAGCTGCTTTTCTAAGGTATTATAAATTGGTGACATTCCTAACCTATCTTCCTCAGAGAGAAAAACCGCCCCAGCCCACCCTCAACCACTTCAAATCACTATCTACTGTTCTGTGCTTTGCCATTTCTGATCATTTCTCTCTTTTTTTTTGGTCAGATTTTATTAGGTTTTCTCCTAATAAAAAGGTCCTGAGTAAGGCAGGAGCAGCCCTGCCATGCTCAGGGAACACAGTATTCAAGGAAGCAGATATCTGGATCAATAAAAGTTTGATACCACCATGCTTTCAATTATTTCCCTGACATTTTGTTTCAGAATGGAAAGCGGCGGGAAGTCTCTTGTAAATGGCCTTGAGCTTTCCTACAGGTCATGTCCTGAATGAGAAATATGGGCAGATGAGCAATTTACATTGAGCTTAGATGTCTATGAAGTGGTAAATTGGGCCTTCGAGGTTGCCATGAAAACCCAGTTGTTTATGAAATAAAATGTGTAATGCAGGGAGGGCAAAGTGATTCCAGAAATTTGATTAGAAAACCAGGCTAGTGGTACTTAGAGGAAGAAAGGGGAGGATTTGGAACAATAACAACATCTCCATTTATCTATTTAGTGTTTTAAAGAGATTATTGACTATCTTTGCAAATAAATACTAAAGTTTACCCGTCTATAAGTTCTCCTTTTTTTTCTTAGTCTGTTCTGTCTCCCAGAAAGTTACATGGAGAATACAATCAATGACTGCCATTGGTTAGAGCTCACTGGCAAAATCTCTGATGTGCCCTGGGAGTTGAGTTAGTTAACGAGGCTGGCTTATTTCAGAAAGATAGCCCAATAGAAAGTCAGACAGTCTTGACTTCAAGTCTTGAGATCTACCACTTAGTCTGTAACCCTGGGCAACTTAGTCCTATCAATTGGTAAAAAGGGGACAGTAATGTCTACCTTGTAAAGTTTTAAGGTTTAGACAGACATTGCACTTATGATTATGATTACTACTACTATTATTACTATTATTAGCCAGATCAAAAAGAGACTAGAGTTGCATTTGTGAGAAACCCAGAGAGATGATTTTATTTCCATATTGAAAATATAAGAATGTACCAAGATGTTCTGAAGAGCATATAGGGCAGGTTGACCTCCAGACACACTCGAATTAAATGCTGAAAATTTCTAAGGCATATAAAAAAATTTCACCTTTTTTTGAGCTAGTTCATGGTCAACTTCCTCTTCTTCTAGGCCAATTTCTGCCATTTCTGGTTGGTTTTTCAACTTGTTCAACAGCTCTGCCTTGGCCACAGAAATATTGTAATAAGCTGAGTAAGAGGTAGGGATCACTGGGCCCCCTGGAGGAGGTGAGAAGTGCTGAAATTCTTGTCTGTGGGAACAAAGAATGACCATTTGAGCTCCTCTGCTAAGAGGCTGCTGATCTTTCTGCTCCTTAGTCTCTCCGTTTGTAAAATGGGACCCTGCATCACCAAAGAGCTGTAAAATAAGGAAATAACGGGCCAAGAAATACTTGTTCAAATGTAAACAGGCCACATGAACGCTATCTAGAAGCCAAATCAAGGCCAATTATAAGTACTTAGAAGGCTATTTCTTTGTCCCTGACTTCTGCAGCTACAGGACTTCTTTAGAGATAATTTAGTTTGGTCATGGACACACCACTAAAATCTGGAAAAAAAACTGACAGGCCCCTAAAGTTCTGGGCTTCTTATCATCAATGATTCCCCTTGGTTTATGGCCCCAGTATATGGATCCCAAGGGAGGGACAGGGTGGTAGGAATGGATCTGAGACTTTAGCTACTTGTCCTCCAAACTTGTTGGTTCCCTCCTATCCATTCTGTAGCCCTGTCCCACCCCAGCTCTATCAAGTCTGCTTGCTTACGAAGGCACCCTATAGCTTTCCTGTACACTCTGATAATTTCTTCTTTCCTGGTAGTACCACTCCTGCTTGAAACAGCCCCTCCACTGCAGATGTCCCACAGTAAAGAGGTCACCCATGACCTCAGCAGTGGTCACCATGTTGGAGGCTGGGGTTAGCACCCCTGCCAGGGACTTGTCACGACCCGCCACATCTCTCATGAGTTCTTCTGAGACTGCCTGCTGTGGGGCAGGCCCTTAGCCTGAGAAGGGATATCATCTCTCCACTTCTGTCATATCCCCAGTGGCCCCAGCCTCTTTCATAGTTGCAGAATGAAATGGGGGGGAAATGAAACCAGTGGCACCCAGAGGCTTGGCAGTGTATCAGCAGACCCTATTGTCTTGGTTTCACTGAAGCCCGTGGGGCTGAGGTGCTGCTTCTCAGAGCCCCAGCCCATGAAAGAGAACTGCTCCTCAGGAAAGAAGTAGCTTCGGCTCCATGCTGGCTTGGGTTTGGGTTCTTCTGCCATCAAGACTTCTGGGCTGGCATGAGGAAGGAAATAAAAAGAAATGCTTCATGTCAGGTTTCAGGGACACAGGGGCAAATAATTCTCCCCATGATTTATGCAAGGGGGAAGGCCCACACCCACTATATTCTTGTTGCTTACCAGCCACCCCCATCTTCTACCTGTCTATGTCACTGCCCCTTTGCTAACCTCTAGCTGTTTGAAAGGAAAAATAGGAGAAACTCATTCGTCATTTCTGCAGCTATTTGCAGCTCTTAGATAAAGGTCAAAAATAATGGTTAAAATGCTCCACAGCTATTTACTGATTCATAGTGTGCTATCTCCTATTCATCACACAACAGAAACTTAGGCATGCCAATATTCATCATCCTAAGTATTCATTTTACATGTAGGTTTTTAAAGCTAATAACATTGATAAAAGAACACTACTAGCTAACATCATATAGTACTTATGTCTCAAAATTGCGCTAAGATGGGAGTGTGAGTATAGATACAAATATAAAATTTAATGCTCATGACAACCATTTTACAGTTAAGAAACATGAAGCATTGAGAGGTAAAATGACTTTCCCAAGGTCATCAGACAATAAGTGGCAGACCCATGATTTAGACGTAGGTAACTTAACTCCAGAATCTGTGCTTTTAGCCACTATGGTATACTCCCAAAACAACAATCTGATATCATATAAAACCCTGCCATGTAAGGAATTTTCTGACTGGACTATATCTATATGTTAGCAGAGAAGAGAGCATTCTGGAGGGAATATGAACATATAGAATAGGGAATTGCTATCCATAAGAAAAATATTAGGGCATATGTGAGAATTCAGAGTCACAAAGTGCCAAAATAAAGTATGGAATTGAAAAAAAAAAGGATGTGGCTGTATGTCAATTATATCTCAATAGAACCAGAAAAAATAAAAATAAATTTTAAAAGGGCATGCTAATTAGAGACTCAGTTCCCCAGCAGACACAGCCCTGTATCATATTATAGTGTATAATATTAGTTACTATGTTCTAGGGCTCCTTTTCTCATAATCTCCATTAATAGGGCAGGGGTTACAGATCTCTGAGAACATAATCTGAATTTGATAATGAACATTAAAGCAACAATCAGATTCCTTCTACAGAGCACTGAGAGGAAATGCAAAGAATCCATAAAGCAAAGTATACTCGAACTTAACCAACACTCAACAATTCCACTAACCTGCTTCTAAATGTGTCACTTCATTTTGTAACTGAATAATATATAGATTACAGAGATAATATGGGTTAACTGGGCTGATGTTAGCACATCTTTTTATTTTGCATTTTAGATTAAAAATATTACACATCTACTTCCCCCTAACACTATTCTTCCTTACAATATCTTAAAGCCACTTCATTCTGGTTAGAACCCTGTGCTCTCCTAGGATCTTCTTGAGGAGCCCAGAGATCCTAGGATGATGTAATGGGCACAGTGAGCCAGACTGCCTGGGTTTTGGCTACTTGTGATCTTCTGCAAGTTATTTTATCTCCCTGTACCTCACTTTTTTCATCAACAAAACAAAACAAAACAAACATAGGAGACTAATGTTATCTATTCCATAGGTTTGTTGTGAAGATTGAACCACTCAATATGCAAAAGTGCTTAGAACAATGTTTGGCACATGGTAAGCAGGAAAAAAATATTAGCTATGTTGGGAATGATATTATTCCTTAAATATCCATCACTCAAAGAAGCATCTATAATTGATTTTTTGCAGCCACAAGCCAGGGCAAACAAATGTTTTTCCTCACATCCCATAGTCATTAAAAAAAAAAAATCTCTGGAACAAGTTACAAGATCTATAGTAATAGCAATTTCCTTCTCTATGCCTAAGTGAATAGAGGCACATAAAAGAAGAAGAATTAGGAGGCTGACAGGGGCATGCAACTACTACCACTGGTACATATTGCCCTACAGGAGGGCCTTGTAAAGTCCTGGCCTACTATAAGGACAAGATCTCTCAGAGAGAGAGGCTGCCTAGGATAGCAAAATAAGCATGGGTTTGGTAGTCAGGCAGATCTGGCTTTGAATCTTTGCTGTGTAATTCTGAGTTGGTTAGTCCCTTATTTTGCTCAGCTTTAGTTTCCTCATCTGTCAAATGGGGATAATAATGGCACATAGGGCTATTGAGAGGATTAAATGAAATAATGGATATAAAATGACTAGCAGTGTCCGGCACGTAGCAAATGCTTAATAAAAGTTTATTCTTTTATTAATTGTTTCTTCTGAATATTAAGTGTCAGTTATGTGCTAAGTCACCTTCTCTGTTGTGAAAGATAATAATCACAGATACTTTCCATAAAATATTTTCTAATTACAATAATAATGCTCCCCAGCTAGATGGACAGCTTGAGAAGCAGCCGCTTGTGATCTGATAAGAGGTTCTCATGATTTCTGGGAACAAGGCCCTATAAGTGCTGTGCTTGTGGCACTTCAGGCTAAAAAACCTTGACTAGCTCCAGATAGCCAAGTAATGAATTTGCCTGTCAGTAAAAGACATGATAACAAGGTACTACTTCTAATGGCAACAAGTCTCATGCAGGTTTCTTATATACAGGGATTTACAGGGGTTTCTTACATACAGGTTCCTTATATACAGGCAGTGGAAGAGTAAAAGAATGTTCTTAGGTGTTATAAGGAATTATCAGAGCATAAAGCACCCAACCCTAGGAACACTTTTGATGCTGGGGTGGTGAGAAGAGTTTAGAAGCCCAGGTAGGTCCTAGAGCAGAGGTGGGTCAGGTTTTGAGCTGACCTCTTGTTCTGGAGAATAAGCAGAAGAAAAAGCAGAAAAGGGCCTGAGCCAGGCTTCTGGGAAAGGCATAGTATAGGCAACAAGGGTTTAATGCTTCTGGCTCAGGGGCCAGAAACTGATGTATACCTTAAAAAGAAACTGGGAAATAATAAATATAATATCTTGATAGTGCTTTTTAGGGATAAAAACATTAATACTTACAATTTACTAAGCATTTACTATGTGCTAAGCATGGGGTTATGTCCTTTACATAGATTATCTTCATATTCACAAAACCACATGGGATAGGTATCATTATGCCAATTTTCCAAGTGAGAAAACTGAGGCCAGGAAGAGTTTAATTGACCAGTTCAAGGTCTTGCAGCTGGTAAATAATGGAGGTGGAATTCAAAATCATGCTGTCTGCCTCTTTAGGGACCTAATGTCTTTCATAAACACTTACTTGGAGGGACCAGTGGTCTCCTGCTCTGATGTCCTCCAAAGCCCACTGATGCCATAATAGCAAGAGGGCTGAGCCTTCTCAGCTTGAGATCCCAAGTGGCCCCTTACTGGAGGCAGGAAATCACTGGAATGGAGAGCAAAGGACTTTTGCTCTGCTGGGAGGCTTTGTGCACCCTGCCTTGAGACTCCCAGGTGACCAAAGCCTAGGGGTTGCGGCTGCTCCAGGGCCTCCTCAGGATTGAGAGCACAGGGACCAGTGGTTTCTGAACTGAAATACTGGGGTGGCAGTTCCTCCTCTTCTCCTCCTTCCTCCTCTTCCTCTTCCTCTTCTTCCTTCTCCTCTTCCTCTTGCTGCTGTTGTTGCTGCTTCCACTGCTGTTGTTGCTGCTGGGCTGCACGAAAGAGCCTGTACTTTTCCCAGTTGGGAGGAGGAGGGCGAGGAGGAGGAAAGGCCTTCTTCCTGGCTCCCGGAGGATCTTGCTGAGTCTCATCAACTTTGGTAAAGAGCTCCCTTCTAGGCTGCCCCCATGCCCGGAAACTCTGGGGCTCCAAGCAAATATGGCTCTCTGAGAAAGCACGGCTGCGCAGTGGGTGGGGCATGGAAGCCATGGAGCTCCCTTCTTCACAAACTGAAGTTTCCTCTGTTTTTTCTGAGGAGTGCCTGAAGTCTCCAAGGAGGTCAAGAGAAGAGATTGCTCGGTAGCTTGACAAGTCCAGTGCTGGGTTCTCAAGGCAAGGATGGAAGGGGGTTGCCCATGAAAAGCCAGCCTTGGAATGAGCCATTTCCCTGCAAAAGAGCAGATAGGGATTGTGCAGAACAAGCAAGTTGCAGATGATCCCACATTTTGGATGACATCATTTATGTAAAATTCGAAATGGCCACAAAACAATGCCATCTATGTAGTAAATGTAATAATAGTAACATATAATATATAATAAATAATATTGATAGCTGAGTATGTACTAAATGCCAGGCCTACTGTTTTAAGTGCTTTCCATGTCTTAACATATTAATCCTCATAATAACCCTAGGAAGTTCTATTACTATTGTCCTGATTTTACAGCTGGGGAAATTGAGGCATAGGCAGGTTAAGTAACTTGCTCATGGTCATAAAGCTAGTAAGTGGTAGAGCTAGGGTTTCAACCTGGACAATCTAGCTCCAAAGTCTGAATGCATACACCACCCCAGTCTGTTTGTAGGACTCAGATTGTATATGCTATGTACTCTGGCTTACAAGTCTAGTTATCTTGCTTCATCTGTTTTTGTTTTGTTTTTAATTATGAAAAATTCAAATATTTACAAACATACAGAGATTACTATAATAAATATTCATGTTTCTACTGACTGCTCAAAATAAGCACATCTTAATACTTTGCCATCGATGTTTCATGATTTCTTTTTAAGAAATAAGAAATAATACCCTTGTTTCATTCCCCACTTCCATCCCCTATTGCTTCTCTAGATGCAAGCTGTATCATAAATTTGACATCTATACTTTCTGTCTATGTTCTTATACTTGTAAGAAAAGACATCAGGCAAGCCATTCACTAATATCTACTATTTGGGATTTAAAATATCTTCTTCTAATGCAAGTCCATTAGAAATTTTTTGACTATAGAATTTTTTTTATTTGATTGCAAAATAAAGCAGGTTATAATATTAAAGAGTATTTTCTATAGAAGGAATGGGGGTTGAGTAAGGGATTAAGCCTATTATAAAGCAATTATAATGAAAACAGTGTGTTACTGATTAATGGAACAGAATGGAAAGTCCAAAAACGTATGAAACTATCTATAAAAACATTATATATAACTGACCATCCATAACAAGGAGATAAAGAAAGATAATTTAATAAATCTTTTTGAGATAACTGCAGAGCAGTGTTATTTGGAGCTGTACCATGTATTATATATTAAAATAAATTCCAGATTTAAGAGTAAATAGTGTGTGTATAAAATTTTAATATATATGTTATATATGTATTTATATGTCTGTGTGTATATGAAAAAACTATCAGAAAATTGAAAAGACTAT